ACTCAGATTACATTACCTTGGAGTATTGTTTTTACAAACTATAGAAAGTGTACTCGGGATGTTAAATTATTGGATTTTCAATTTAGATTCATCCACAAGATTATATATACTAAAAAAGAATTGTTGAAGATGAAATTGATTGACAAAAATATTTGTACATTTTGCAAATCAGAACCAGAGGATATTATCCATGTTTTTGTATCGTGTGAACACACACAGATGTTCTGGAGTGAACTAAGGATTTTTATTAAAAACACTTTTAGCATTGACATTGTACTCTCAGATTTCACAATCCTGTTGGGACTTAACACTGGCTATAATTCTATTAACAACATTATTCTCGCTGGGAAACGATTCATATATATCTCAAGTATAAACAACAGATGGCTACAAATGTCAGGATTTCTGAAAATAATACAGAATATTGTATTTGTCGAAAAATACATAGCTAAGAAAAACAACAGGATTAACAAATTTCACAAAAATGGCCTAATAGCTTTATTTCGAACTTTGAAAATCTGCAAGTCTCTGGGCCAATAAATAATCAGCTCCAACATGCCTACGACCCAGGAGTTTGCTGCTGGAGGTTTGCACTTTGTCTTTCTATACCCATCCTGGCAAACTTTGAAATGAGACAAGGGTCACTTAGTCATTGGAATTTTGGACACACTGTCAAACCCAATGTTTTGTGCACACATTGTTGTACACATTGTTTTGTTCACATATTCTGGTTTTTCTATTCACAAGCCGTTACAAATGTACTGTCTCTCCCCAGGCACATACTGTTTACTACACTCACTCACTCACTATTGAGGGATTGATGTATATATTTACATGTAAACGTATAAGGTCATCTTGTTAACATATCAAGCCGGGGACACCAGAAGGATGAAGTCAAATCCCGATGGTCCACTGTTGTTACTCGTCCTGCGTGTTTATTGGAAATATATTTATAAATGAAGACTAGATTCATAACCTTGCATGATTTAAAAATGTATTATAACTTAACAAGTCGGATGGAGTGCTACATTTACAAAATGCGACCATGAAAATTCACTAGCCAGACGGGCCAGTGACTGTGTTGATTTACTGGCCCGACTTGATTTTTACTAGCCACGGGCTAGCAGACCAGTGGCTATTTCGCACACTCATTGAGGGCTTGCCAAACTTTCATTTCTTATGAGACCTGAAGTGTTATGGTTTGACGTTTCATGATTTCAATAGCTTCAAAATGTTGTTATCTTATCGATATTATGAAATCGTTATTATGTAGTCCACCATTAATTCAGATAGAATTTTTAAAAATGTTCTGATAACGTCGTGTTTGTAGCTATTTTAGCAAGAATTATACAAATATATATATATATATATATATATATATATTGCAAAAATCACGTTTAAGCCCGGGCTTTTTTTCGTAATGATAGCTACGTCTTTGTCATGCCCTGTTCATCCCTCCGACTGTCGTCGACTCCGTCGTGAGACATGACTGTTGCACTGTCTGTGTGGCTTGAGCTGAGCCGTCCATCATCCATAACGTACATCATCAAACTCGTGAAGATCCGCGTTGGAATTGATCTTCAGCAACCCATGCTTGTCGTAAAAGGCGACTAACGGGATCGGGTGGTCAGGCTCGCTGACTTGGTTGACACATGTCATCGTATCCCAATTGCGTAGATCGATATTCATGATGTTGATCACTGGGTTGTCAGCTCCAGACTCGATTATTTACAGACCCTCGCCACATAGCTGTAATATTGCTGAGTGTGGCGTTAAACAACAAACAAATAAACAAGCATAAGGTCATCATGTACTTAATTAGTGGGAGCAGTGTCTCCCTGACCTTCGATACTCTTCCTTCCCCTCTTGTACCCTGATGCCTCCCTTAACAGTGACAGACAGGAAGGCGCATCATCCCTTAGGTTGACTCCACGGTTGCCTGAAATACTTGATGACAGCGCTAATTTTGTCCATTTTCATCAACAGACAATGCCTAGTCAGTTTAATGACTGTCGATACATGATGCCTGGTTGTGTATTTGGTTCTCATGTTGCCTGTAAGACAGGCAATATTGCACATAATACACATAAACTGCCAAGCTTTCCCCTCGTGGTTTCCTCCCATTTGTGAGAACTCCCAGTTGTGAGACACATTAATTAATGGTTCAGTGCACATAGGTGGTGTTTCCACATCCCTACAATCAAAGTGGGATCAGCCCAGCCCAGTACCCACAGGAGCCATAGTTCATTGATGAGTTGACTAATGAAATAGATTATCAAAGATTATATTTACACAGAAGAAATAGTTCATTGAATATTTTATTTATTCAGAAGAATATGTAATTATCATAACACATATTTATTGACTATTATGAAGTTTGAAAGTCATTTTTGTTTAAACATATTTTATTATTATTTATGAAAATGAATTGGGATTGGTGAAGTATTACTGCTTATGTTAACACCGCTCCCATGCAACATAAACTATAAAATGAAATGGAGGATGTGACGTCATCGATATTGACTATTGCATAAATATATCGGCGTTTGGGTCGCTAGATCCGAGCCTGAAGCAGCAATGAACGATTTGACAAAAACAAGAGCCATAATAAAGATCAATACAAATCTTGTTTTCGATTTTTGAAATTAGGTTTCAAAATTCTTTTAGACTGCATGACTCTTTGGAATTTTGTAGGGCATTCCATAAATTTATTGTGTCGGGTAGAAAGGGTTTGGCATAAGGGGCATTTCGACTGTAAATTTCAGAGTTATTTCAGAGTTATTTCTTAAACTATGGCTTGTAGTTTCGGAGATGGAGTAAATATGAGTAGGTAAATTAATTTCTCTTTGATCACGAAGTTACCTACACAAAGTGTTTAATTATTAAAGACATTTACCTGAGTGTGTTAATCAATTTATCTTATAAAGTTTCATTAAGTTACCTCCACAAGATTCAGTTACATAGCAAATTAGTAACTAGCTAGGGTGAATCCATTCTATCAGACAGGGGGAGTATGGTGTGTTGTCGTTGTTAATTACCTACTCCACTGTCTCATAACTGGGAGTCTCACAACTGGGAGTTCTCACAAATGGGACTGCACGGTATAACCGGTATATCGAAATACCCTTTTCAAACGATACGTATTCCAATAGTTTTTTCTGATAACCGGTATATTGGGTAAAGAACATAATACTGAACAACAAAAGAAACGCAAGTTTCGACAAAATGATATCTCATGAAGGCAAGCGTTCAAGTTTATGGAACGTTCATGGTAAAGTGACGTAATGATCCCAGATGAGATGATGTCATGCAATTTGACGTCCAAATGAACCATTCGCACAAACACACCAACAGTGCAGCAAAACCATAATTTTAGCTCGTGCATCGACGGTTATGGATGAAAAGCATGCATTTTACTCTGAGGTATCCTTTATAAAGGTTTGTGTCAAAAAAACAGTTCAGTATTGACGCTAGGAGGTGTACACGCCACACAAACGAGGCCTAGACTAACGACTGAGCAGAGGGGAATGGCCATTGGAAAGTTACACGGAGGTAGCTCTGCAACCGCTGTAGCTAGACAATTGGGCTGTCATCTTACCACCATTACACGACTTGGTCAACATCATCAGCAAAGCGGGTTGCTGCTGATCGTCCTCGTATCGGACGGCAACGAGTGACAACTCATGCGCAAGATCGGTTCATCCGGGTCACTCATCTAAGGAACCGAACCCGATGGATTATCTGGCTCAAAACAACATTAACGTCTCTTTCCTCGGATATGGCTCCCATTGAACATTCTGGGACGGAGGATTGCTGCAGGTAGACAGCCACTCACACTTGCACAGTTGGAATAGAGATTGGTGTTTGAGCGGAACCAGTTGCCTCAGGCATTCTTTCAGACTCTAGTGAACTCAATGAGACCACGTTGCACGGCCTGTGTGCAATCTCAAGGTGGCTATACGCGCTACTAAAAAGACTGTCACTTTTCGCGTTCAGGGGTATCTCCATTTGACGGACTGTGATCAATTTGAACTTATTGCAATTCAATGTCAACAGCAACTTTTAGTTGTTAAATTGACAGTGTTTTCTATACAATAAATGATTAGACATACTTTTGGTTGTCTTCTATTCACAAACTTGACAAAAAGCCAGACTTGCGTTTCTTTTTGCTGTTCAGTATATATGGAGCTTGTGTGATTATCTTTATGGTTTAAATTGATATCTGCACAGACTTTCATTCACAACTAGTTATTTCCTTCGTTATTCAATGACAAAACGGCACAGTTTAATACTATAGAATCCCTGACTATGCAACCTCATTGTGAGATTGTTGTTACCAGAACCATTACATATATATTTAGGGACTTATAATGTAGGATTGGCATGCACACATAATGTCACTCGCTGTCAAACGACATAAGTTCCCACTATATCGCAATACGGGTACCTGAATCGCAATATATTGCAATACACTATATTTACCATTACACAGCCCTAGTACATCATATTTTTCAGACGTTAACCATACAAATATATTAAAAGTACAGAGATGCTACTTAAACGCAGCACACAATATTAATAAGAAAGGCAATGGTGCAGTTCATTGTTAGTCCTCCAGCAAATTAAAGTTAACCGAAAGATCCACAATTCAACGTTTAGAGTTACCTCCCTTGGCTGGAAGGATCCGCTGATACAGGGACCTAGGCACAGTTTTACAAAGCTATCGTTACGTTTCATCAGTCGTAGCACAACTCTTACTTACGACCATCGTAGCGTTACGACCGCTTTGTAAATCGTGGCTCTGATTATGTGTGTGTTACAGTATAGGAGGTACGACAGTCGTAGCGCTACGACACCTTTGTGAAACAAGGCCCGCTCTTTGCTTTACGAAAGCAGTTAACGTCTACGGGATGCGAATTTCTTTCACTATGAAGCGGGCACGCAGAACAATATTTGATATACTTTCAAAGCAGAATTAAACGCAACTCACTCTGTTTCAGATGACGGGCTCATCAAGAGAAAGACAGCGTGACCTATACGGTATAGACGGAACTGGTGAGTTAATGTATTTTCAGAGTTCGCCTGGGATACATGGAATGGACTTCTGATCTTGATCCCTTGGGTGAATTAGGACGGGCCAGGACGGACCAAAACGGGCCAGGACGAACCAGGACGGACCAGGATGGACAAAGTCGGACCAGAATGGACCAAGATCCACGGATCGTAATGACTCTGAATGAAGGACATCCGGGACACCCTGTACTGGGATTGGTAAGAGTGTACAGTTCCTGTTCAGGATGTATACCGTAAGTACGATCAGGGTACGTATATCACCCCATTCTCATCCTCACCCCCATCCCATTCCATTCACACATCCTCCATGTAGGGAACTAACGTAGGTGCGCCACCTGGTGGGAACCGATGTCCTGGAGAAGAAGAGACATGGGATTAACCCTTCGTAGCATCATCGTTCACGTAGGGACATCATACAGGTTGCCGGATGCTGAGGTCGTCGACGAAGGAGGATGCAGAGACGAGGAATTGTCAGGATGCCGCAGTCATCAATGGACGGACCCGTGGACCTTTGCGAACATTTTGTAAATTTTCCCATTTGTACTTTGAACCAATTTTCCGAATGAAATGAAACACACCGATCTCTTAGAATGTTTCTTGCATTTATCATAATGGCCTAAGACGCCCTGTTTCACTTCCGAATGAATAGAGCTGACAAAAAAAAGAAATAAAAAGTCAATAAAAAACTAATAAAAGCAAATGAGACAAACAAAAGAGAACTACGAACACAAGAGAAGAGGTTCATCTTACTTTAGGGGAAAATTTACAAGTCTTTGTATTTCAGGGACTGCAGTGATCTGATCTCATGGGATTAAACATAAACTAGATTTTTTTAACTGATACTCATGCGCCCTGTGACCTATCTGTGTTGACAGCTATAAACACGACAGTTGGACCCACAGCTCCCAGCTCCGGCACCGTCGAGAGAAAGGACATAGAATGTACAGCAGCGTAAGTACAGGATACTAACACAAGCATTTAGGGGCCCCGATCCACAAACCGCCTTTTGCGCTACGACCATAGTGAACCAATGTTAAAGTAGGGAGTTAGGATCATCTTAGTGCTAAGATCGCTTTATCGAACGGGGCCCAGGATGATCCTTAGCCTATGTTAACGTATAGGCGTTATAATTACCTTAGTGATAAGATCGCTTTGTGGAACGGGGCCCAGGATGATCCTCAGCCTATGTTAACGTATAGGTGTTATGATTACCTTAGTGCTAAGATCGCTTTATGGAACGGGGCCCAGGATGATCCTCAGCCTATGTTAACGTATAGGCGTTTAAATTACCTTAGCGCTAAGATCGCTTTGTGGAACGGGGCCCAGGATGATCCTCAGCCTATGTTAACGTATAGGTGTTATGATTACCTTAGTGCTAAGATCGCTTTATGGAACGGGGCCCAGGATGATCCTTAGCCTATGTTAACGTATAGGCGTTATAATTACCTTAGTGATAAGATCGCTTTGTGGAACGGGGCCCAGGATGATCCTCAGCCTATGTTAACGTATAGGTGTTATGATTACCTTAGTGCTAAGATCGCTTTATGGAACGGGGCCCAGGATGATCCTTAGCCTATGTTAACGTATAGGCGTTATAATTACCTTAGTGATAAGATCGCTTTGTGGAACGGGGCCCAGGATGATCCTCAGCCTATGTTAACGTATAGGTGTTATGATTACCTTAGTGCTAAGATCGCTTTATGGAACGGGGCCCAGGATGATCCTCAGCCTATGTTAACGTATAGGCGTTTTAATTACCTTAGCGCTAAGATCGCTTTGTGGAACGGGGCCCAGGATGATCCTCAGCCTATGTTAACGTATAGGTGTTATGATTACCTTAGTGCTAAGATCGCTTTATGGAACGGGGCCCAGGATGATCCTTAGCCTATGTTAACGTATAGGTGTTATGGTTACCTTAGCGCTAAGATTGCTTTGTGGAACGGGTCCCTGGGGAAGACGCCAAGTCATGGGGATCGACATGGGTGCCGTTGTACAAAGCAGACTTAGCGCTACGCCAGTCGTAAGTCTATGTTATAGGTTGCGGTCACCTTAGCGCTAAGATCGCTTTGTGGAACGGGTCCCTGGGGAAGACGCCACGCGGAGGGGATCGACATGGATAGTCAAGCAGCGATATCTAAAACTTTGAAAATGTTACACATATAGACAGGGCACCATACAGAGGCTATCCTATGTAGGATTCTGATCATATAAATTAGGCAATGCTACGTATTTTCAAGTTCCCTTTAAACCCTGGTCAGGTTGATTCTTTTCGTTCCCAGGATCGTTGATAAATCTAACCGACTTTTCACGCACATAAAAGCAACTAGACATCCTCAATGCGATATAATTTCACAACTTGATTCATGGTTCCCACATATTTGTGGATAAATGGCTGAAACAGTGTAGGAACAACATAAACATTTGAACTCTCCCACTACATTAAATGTCAAAATAGCTTCCCTGATCTAAAACTTTGAATGTTTGTTCCAGAACGTTATGGGAAAAATAATTAATGTAATTAATGTTAAATTATTTTTGTTTCAGAACCATGGACATCCACATCCCCCGGACTTTACTCCCCACCCACAAAGTGACCCTCCGTGACCCCACTTGCGTCATCCCCTCCAACGGCACCCACTACATCATCAGCATCTCCTTCAACCAGTGCGGCACCACAGTCAGCTTCAGCAACGACACCGTCGTGTTCAACAACGAGCTGGTCGCCACCGTCATCCAAGGAAGCAACCCATCCACCATCATCGACTACGGCCTCAGCAAAGACGACCAGCGTGTATCTCTGGAATGCGTGTACAAAAGACACACAAGTGTGGACCTGAACTATAGGCCGCTGATGAAAGCAGCACACTTTTACGAAAAACGGTAAGTGCTGACTTTACTATTAGCTCTTCTGTCGCTAGAGGGAGGATTGTTTAGTATCCAGTAATTTCTGAAGAATAAAAGAACAAGTATGCATGTGGTCAGAATAATCCTCAAAACTTGATAATTACACATTCTTGCCGTAAAAGGAGACTAACGGGATCGGGTGGTCAGGCTCGCTGACTTGGTTGACACATGTCATTGTTACTCTTTTGCATAGATCAATGTTCATGATGTTGGATTTCATACAGACAAACGAATAAATGTAATTCATAAATACACACACGCGCGCTCGTGCATTTATTTTTTGTTGTGTAACGTGCACTGACTGACAAACAGAACGAAACCTTGGGTGTGACGGCTATCGTGGGTATGTTTGTAGATATGGGATGCTGGACTTCGAGATAAAACAGTTCTCAGATGAGCAGTTCAACACGGAAATCGCCCAGACCAACGTCCCGTCGGGCGTCGTCCTCAACAGCGAAATCTTCATCGACCTGATAGTGGATCAGCGACAGACCAGCGACATCGGCCTCGATGTCCCAAGCTGCTTTGCCACGCCCACGCCCTCTCCGACCGACCCGCTCTATTATCCGCTCATTAAGTCAAGGTAAGACAAGAGAAGTACGGATAACACAATCTCTGACCTTACGGTTTGGTCACAGTCAGTTTAATCATGACTATCTGCTCAAAACAGATGGGATAGACCTCCTAAGTGTATCGCTTGCAATGAAGTGTTCACAATCAAGCATATTCTGCTTGACTACGTGGACTTTTCAAATGCAAGGGATTCACATTATGAAGCGATAAATCTGAAAGATATCTCTTCAAGCGTGAGCGGGCATCTCATTGAGGACTACTCAAGCGACATTGACCTGAGTCCCGATCCACAAAGCGTTCGTAGCGCTACGACATTCGTAAGCCTGTGGTAAACTATAGAGTTACGACAGGTCGTAACGTTACGAACGCTACGTGGATCGGGACCCTCGATCATGAATTGTAACTATGTAATGTGTATGACGAAGTGCTTGTCTATATAATTTGGTGCTATGACTTCCTGTTTGTAAATAATGATGAATAAATATGTATTTTAGGAAACGCATTTAAACTTTGTACTGAAAATGTGTATGTGTTCAAACTTTGTCTAGTAGCTGTATACGGCTGAAATAACGACGATGCGACGTAACATTCAACTCAACACATCTTTCGCCCTTTTCGTCCAAAGGAATGTTTCGTCGGATAATCGAGACAAGTTATTCTCTGGCGTTGATGCCTTATATTTTAAGTGGTGGTTGGGAAGCCTAGTGGTTAAAGTGTTGGCTCGTCACACCGAAGACCCGGGTTCGATTCCCCACATGGGTACAATGTGTCAAGCCCATTACTGGTGATATTGCTGGACTATTGCTAAAAGCGGTGTGAGACCAAACTCACTCACTCACTCACTCACTCGGACACGAGGCAATGTGTATTGTCGTTCTTACTGAAACATAATCAATCATTTCCAGCTGCCCCGCCCAGACTGACGTCAGGACCTTCACCGCTCCGAACATCAACGAGTTCCGGTTCAGCTTCCTCGCGTTCAAGTTCACGCGGGCCCCCCTGCAGAAACCCGACGCCTCCCTGCCAGCTGTGCCCATGGTGTACATACACTGCCAAGTCTCCGCCTGCCCAAGAGGAAACTGCTCGTCGTCATGCGCACAAGGTCATCGCGCGAAGAGGGCGGCGATACAAGATAGTACCCACTTAATTTCTTCTGGTCCATTCTACATGAAAACTGACGAAAGTGAGTACAGGTTTTGAGAGACATCCATATTCACATATTACAGCAAGACCCTTGACGATCAGGGTTTGAATTGGTCTTCAGGAACCCATGCTTGTCGTAAGAGGCGACTAACGTGATCGAGTGGTCAGGCTCATTGACATACCTCATCGTATCAGAATGGCTTAAATCGATGCACATGCTGTTTGCTTGTCTGGTCATAATGCAGATCCACCCGTGAAGATCCGGGTTAAATTTGGTCTTCAGGAACCCGTGTTTGCCGTAAGAGGCGACTAATGGGATCGGTTGGTTAGACTCGCTGACTTGGTTGACACATGTCATCGTATCCCATTTGCGTAGATCGATGCTCATGTTGTTGATCTCTGGACTGTCTGGTCCAGACTCGATTATTAACATACCGCCACCATGTTGCTGGAATATTGCTGAGTGTGGCGTTAAACAACAACAAACAACCTATTACAGCCAGTGTTCTCGGGTAGGACCCTGTATCTAGTGTTCTCGGGTACCAGGACCCTGTAGGCCCTACAACAAACAACAACCTATTACAGCTAGTGTTCTCAGGTAGGACCCTGTATCTAAGGCCCTACAACAAACAACCTATTACAGCCAGTGTCCTCGGGTAGGACCCTGTATCTAAGGCCCAACAACAAACAACCTATTACAGCCAGTGTTCTCGGGTAGGACCCTGTATCTAAGGCCCAACAACAAACAACCTATTACAGCCAGTGTTCTCAGGTAGGACCCTGTATCTGAGGCCCTACAACAAACAACCTATTACAGCCAGGCCCAACAACAAACAACTGTTGTTCTCGGGTAGGACCCTGTATCTGAGGCCCTACAACACACAACCTATTACAGCCGGTGTTCTCGGGTAGGACCCTGTATCTAAGGCTCTACAACACACAACCTATTACAGCCAGTGTTCTCGGGTAGGACCCTGTATCTAAGGCTCTACAACTACAAACAACCTAGGCCAGTGTTCTCTGTGTATCTAAGGCTCTACAACAAACAACCTATTACAGCCGGTGTTCTCGGGTAGGACCCTGTATCTAAGGCTCTACAACACACAACCTATTACAGCCAGTTTTCTCGGGTAGGACCCTGTATCTAAGGCTCTACAACACACAACCTATTACAGCCAGTGTTCTCGGGTAGGACCCTGTATCTAAGGCTCTACAATGCTCTGTTCAAGATCAATGGTCGTGGGTTCGAAATCCACATTGGTGCAATAGCTTGTCCACATAATTGCTCGTGTCCGCACGAAGGTTCATGTTAGAATATTGATCTTCAGCAACCCATGCTTGTCGCAATTAGAGGCGACGAACGGGATCGGGTGGTCAGACTCGCTGACTTGATTGACACTTGTCGTATCCCAACTGGATTGCCAGGTACAGATTATTTAGAAACCGTGTAGCTGGAATGTTGCTGAGTTCGAATCCCAGTGTCACATGTACAAACAAGTACCCAAGAATCAATGCAGTTATCTTCAATACTCAACGGGATTTTAAACACAAGATTCATCATCACCTTCTTTGTCTATTGTATCCCACTAGGTACGACTGGATACAGCAGCATCGTTGTAGCCGTCACCATGTCAGTCGCCGTCGCAGCTACTGTAGTTGCCATGGCAGCCATCGTCGCTTGGAGAAGAAGCGCCGCTGCCCTAAGAGCCTACAGGAGCCTACCCATGGATGTCACTTCGTAGAAGTTTTCTTTTTTTTCAAATATTTTGCTTTCTCGCTTATATCCCAATTAAAATATATTAACCCGAAAACTCTTTATAATTTCTTTATCGAAATACTGATTTATCGTTTTTACCGCATATTTTATGAATATCTTATATTAAATTTTGCAATTAGTGAGTTACCATTTTCGTCGATTCGGCATTATTTCAGCCATTTAGCGACTATTTTTTGCAATCATATTTGTAAGATTGCCCTTTCGGCTTCAGTTTTGATTTTAGATGTTTTTGTAAACTGCTATAAACCGAATCAAACTGATAATTATTATTAAATGTCTTAGACCGATTTTCGTTTTGTGTTCGATTATTAGCTTGAAATATTTGTGGTAATCTATTATTAAAAACTTAATCTATAAACGAATGTCATGCAAAATTTTGTTAGTAATTTACTTTAGTTGGATGTTTTCTCTTTGTTTTCTCTCTGATTTTATGTATTGTTTGCGAGCAGCGTTTTGTTTTATCATTTAATAAACAGCATTCTCAAGACATGATGTTTGCTTTTTCTGTTTCCAGTTATGAATTAGTTTAAGTTCTTCAACGCACACAGTAGGAGTCAAGCTATATCATGGCGTGATGTAGATATTGGAGTAGGGGCTAGTGGTCAATAGCATGAACAACGAACTAGGCCTTTCAGGCTTTGTCTCTCAGCTCTGTATTAAACCAGTTGAGTATGATATATGTGTAGTATCTCCCACTAGATGCGCCGTACCTGGTCTGGCTGATACAGTGTCAGGTGCTTCGATCCCCATTTAGCCTACCTATTTAAGTTGGTTACTTGTTGCCGTGCCTAGCGCTCGACGTTACGGGATAAAAGCAGGACTGGTTGGCTGGGTGTCAGTATTATGTGTATGAGTGGTCAATCTATGTGATTCTGTGGCATGGTCTCTCAGTGGGCTAGCACTATAAACCTGTATAGGCCCGGACTAGTAACATCACACACGCACGCACGCACACACGTGAACACACGTTAAACCCTTTTTAATGTTGCCTCGCCTCATCTTCAAAATAAACAGTAGAACAGTGTAGGCTCACAATACTACGGAAGCGAGACATGGGTCACGAATGACTGTAATCGTCTTCGGCAAGAAGAGAGAGTGAAAAAGGTTTCAAGCCACTTTTGACAAAAATTTCATCAACATCACGGCGGGGTACACCAGATATAGGCTTCACGTGTTTTATGTTTGGAATCGAACCCAGGTCTTCGGCTTGACGTGTGAACGCTTTAACCATTCGGCCCACCCTCCTGCCCTATCGGAAAATGCGTTGACCTCTTGCACACATCACAAGTGTGGTTAGTGAGTGAGGTGAGGTGAAATTGGGTTTTACGTCGTGCTTGAGAATATTTCGCTCATATGACGACGTGCATGCGTGTGTATGTGTATGTGCGGCTGCTTGTACTAGCCCAGACTGAAGCTGGTTTTATAGCGCTAGCCCACTGAAATGCCATGCCGCAGTGAAGCATGAATACCCCACTCAGACACATTATACTGACTCCGAGCCGACCAGTTCTTGTTGTACGCATTAATGCCGAGCAGGCAGGGACCAACAAGTACCATATTTTAACGTCTTTTGGTATGACGCGGTCGGGGATCGAACCCGCGACCTTCCGCTCTCCGGGCGGACGCTCTAACCACTACACCACGGAGGCGGTCGGTTAGTGAGTAACAGTCGATTCATGCACCATGACAGAGAAGCACGAATCGTCACAGATTCATGTAAGGGCGGCCGATCATCATTAATTCTCATGGACAGCCCAAACTGGCTTGGATGTTCTCAGTTAACTTGCCGTTCTATTTATCTATCCTTCTAACTTGAAACATTTTGAATAACTTCCTCACATGATATTAAAAACTTAAAGATCATTCTTATTATACTTTCAATTACAATTTCTAAAATATTTTAATCGTGAATAACACCTCTAGACAGAAATGTAAATATATTTTAAAAATAAAGCTGAGCTTAAATAAATATTTTGAAAATAATTTATATACAGTTATTGTAAGTTATTATACACGAGACAAGCAAGTGATTAAATAATTCAGAGAAAGAATAAATCTATATGGATTAATGCTAGTGTCAATAGCAATCTAACCTGTATCAGATGATCAAATATGTTACATTCACGAAGAATTTGTTTTCATACCAAATTGCAGGAGACTCACTAAATGTAAGTAGATATATAATGTATGGTAGTATTCGGACATTCCCGAGCCATTCGCGATGTCATAGTCCCATCACTCTCGCGGAGGTGAAGTGGTCGTACTTGACTGCCCCTTGTAGTACAGCATCCACCGGAAGAGTCCTGGGATGAAACGGTATCAGTTCCTGACTGTACCCATCATTGTTAGTGCATCACCTAGTTCGAACTAGTTAAGGGAATATACTGTCGGGCAAATGACTATACACCCATGTTTGGTTGGTTTGATGTTTAACGCCGCACTCAGCAATATTCCAGCTTTATGGCGGCGGTCTGTAAATAATCTGGACCAGACAATCCAGTGATCTACAGTATGAGGATCAATCTTCGCAATTGGGATACGATGACATGTCAACCAAGTCAGCGAGCCTGGCCACCTGATCCTGTTAGTCCCCCTTTACGACAAGCATGGGTTGCTGAAGATCAAATCCAACCCGGATCTTCACGGGTCCCCATATTTCACGGAGGCTGAAACTAACAATAACTGGTTATAGTGAAGTATTTGATACCTGTCTATTTGACCTTTGGGTGTTTTCGTAGCGTATGTAAATGTTGGTCAAATCCGATTTCCGACAGTTAAGAATAAATTTACAGCCATTTGTTTCTGACATTTCGATATATGTGTCAGTTACAAATGATAAAAAATATTTGAATTACTATCTATTATCTACAATCGTTTCACACTGAAAATGTCAATTGTAATTATACCTGTTTTATGAATGACTGAGTAGCAGTGAGTATGGTTTTACGAAGCTTTCAGAAATATGACAACAATGTCACAGCAAGGGACACTAGAAATGGGCTTCACGCATTGTACTCATGTGGGAATCGAACCGGGTTTTCGGCACGACGAGCGAACACTTTAACCACTACACTATCCCACTGCACCCATATTTGACTGACTGAGTTTGGTTTTACGCCGCTTTTAGCAATATTCCAGCAACATCACGGCGGGGGACACCAGAAATGGGCTTCACACATTGTACCCATGTGGGGATTCGAACCGGATTTTCGGCACGACGAGCGAACACTTTAACCACTACACTATCCCACTGCACCCATATTTGATGCAAGAGTTGGCGTTAGGGCGTAGCTCACCTGCGGTGGGTCAATATCTGGAAGGACACCTGTAATGCTTCCTTGTGAGCGTGTACGTTGTGGTTACTTGCGATATAGGGACGGCGTGTAGCACTGTAAGTAAATGTTCGCTCTTTTTAGATCGTCGTAAAAAGATAATCTCTATTTCTCTGTGTATTGGGTTGAGTCTTTGGTGAAACAAACGAAATCCGGTAATTATAGCGGTGACAATGAAAAATAAACTTGACGAACCGGGATTCGAAACCGTGTTCAAGGATTCCTAGTACGCCAGAGGGACTCAAACCTACACATCGTCTTCCATGACTAGTCCGCTTGGCCCCTTAACCTCTAATAATGACCTCTGTCCCGTTGTAGAAAACAATCTGTACTAAGGTTGTTTTGTGCAACGGGACACAAATCCTAAATATCCTAAAACACACCAAACTGAGATGTCCCGTCTCGTCACATTTGATTCGTTAATAAATGAATAAGGCCCATTTTCCAATAATGACGCCTTATAACTAGTTCATTTTACAGACGCTTCCCACATTTGCATCCCTGGTCCGACAGGTGTCGTGCCAAGATGATAAACATGCCGCATCTCCAGAGGCATGGACGACGTTTTAACGGTGAATGTCGTGTATGACGAGATGGACTATTTTATAATATGGCCTCCTAGGTCTAAGCGTAAAAAAAGTAAGATCCCTGCTCATACTAAATACGGTACTCAGGTGCAACATAGTACAATTTTAATTTCCGTGCATCATCATCATTCTTTAACGTATATACAACTGAACTAATTAATTCTACCATCGTTTAAAACCAGACTATGAATCTTTGTCAACACCATGCGGGTGCTGACGGGTTTCACCAAATTGGCATATGATGTTGCGAGAATACAAAGAAAGAAATAACATTAATGGTTTAACATTTGTTTTATACTTATTTTAGCACAGTTCGATATGTGTATCCGAAAACGCAAATATTGCAATTTTGATACGTTGTCCAACAGAAACATGACTTCACAACCAGTGTAAATACGCCGCACTCAGCAATATTCAGTTCTATATGGCGGTTTAAAATTTATGACGTGACGTGAGGCGACCCTGAACAACATTCGCATCATAGCCTAGTGGTTAAAACGTTCGCTCGTCACGCCGAAGATGGGGTTCGATTCCCCACACAGGTAAAATTTGCGATGCCAATTCCTGGTGACCTCCGCCTTGATATTGCTGGAATATTAGTAAAAGCTGCGTTAACATACTTATTTACACATTCTTCTTGGTATGCGCGCCTGCGTATGAACCACAGGCCCCCACTGCGGGTCATGTTATATAGTAGGGGGCTGGATAGTAAACCAGGGCTTAGTTTATCGATTTTCTGACCCGCAGTGTGGGCCTGTGGTATGAACGTGAGGAAAAACAACATAACCACCCTAGTTGGTTTTCTTGATTTTAATTATTCGGGTGTTAACGCCATTTTGGATTCCCATGTTTTAAGTGGTATGTCACAGAATAGTGCGCTGGATGCTAGAAACGTTTATCTGGCTGATATATCGATTGTGGATTATTTTGGCGTACATTTTTTCATTATCCTTTTCTTGCAAAAAAATAAATACATTAGTTAACTAAGCTTATGAGCTCTCGTGGTCATGCATTTTATCTGAACAACCCAGTCCAATTTACAGATGTGTACTCTGATATGACTTAACTGTTAAACTTATGTCCCGAAAAATTAAGTCGTTTGCTCAATGCCCCAAGGCACATTCATTTGGTAAATTAGCCTAATTTTTACTATTCGATCAAATGGTTTTATTAAATAATGAAAACTAAAACGCATGCAGTATCTTGTGCGGAAGCAGATAATGCCCGTTTAAAACTGTGTGTCTTATACAGGCTCCTCTCGTGAGGAATACAAGCGCCAATCTGTCAGGCATGCGGATTCAACGTTTGCGTGTGGTGCATTTTAGCGGCTTGTGGTACGCTTAATACACGAGAGTGTTCTCCCTTGGAATGGAGAGCGGACGAAGTATTTTGGTTGAGAAAACGTTTACAGTATGTACAGACAGTGTGTCATGAATAGTGCCTGATGGTAAGTTCCATGTTGTTTTGAAACAATGTCCAACCAGCCTTGCATGAAACAAGTAAAGACGACCATCCTCAAAGATCCTGAGGGTCAAAGAATGGAAAGTAAGTAGTTCGTGTTTGTAGACCGAAGTAGTCAATGTAGCGGTCATATGTCGAGATTTGTGATGAGGTTCGACCAGGGGTCTTCTCATTTGAGGTGAGACGCCTTGTCCACATGGCCAAGGTGGATAATCCTGTCAGGAAGCTGGCAAGGTAAGGATAACTTTGTGAGATGTCTCCACCCCTACTACATACTCGCCAGTCTACAGAACACACGTCCCGTGCCGTATATGATATCCCTGGTTGTAAAGACTTATTTTGAATAAATCCAAAATAAACGTACTCAGCCCCATGTTTGACACCAATGTAGCATTCATTAATCTTCTCAGTCCCCTGATTGGATTTGAACTAAAACAAAATAAAATTAAACAATTCACTGTTTTTGCTTTTGGTCCCTTCAGCACTTGATATCCTTTTTGGTCAATCATGGTACATTGGTCTCAGAATTACTCAATGTAGAGCCACCAAACATTGTGGCCTTTAATAGCCATTTGTGTGGCTGTGCTGTTTGGTGGTTCTATGGCTGGGTTGCTGACCAACATTTCACCCATGTTGTATGAGCAACATAGTCCATATTCACACTCTCCCACTGAAAATTAGACTGATTGTATCACAAACCTTGAATCCATATTTAACAGAGTTATGTCCCTTTAATTAATGTTTTTCCTATAAAACTAAAATGAACAGGAGCTTCAAAATAGCCAACACATTATCAAGAAAGATGAAAAAAAGGGGTTGCTGAAGACCAATTCTAACCCGGACTTTCACAGGTTAAACTGTATGGTCATTGGAAAAGCAAGATTTTATGGATGTCAACTTCTTTATTGTGAATAACACGACGTTTCGGGTGCTTGCTCCATCAGGTGAAGGAGCAAGCATACACTCTGAAACATTCTGTTATTCACAATAAAGAAGTTGACATCCATAACATCTTGTTTTTCCTATGTATTCCACTTCTAAATGCCCTTCAAAGATTTGTATGGTCATTGTACCCGGTGTAACAGGCCTAGCTGTCCTAGGCCAAACTTTCCCCACCCTTGAATCAACCTCAAAGGCTACTTCTTTCCCACCCTTGTTCTTATATCAAAAGGGGGAGATTCTGGCCTAGCCATGGCCTATGTTTATGTTCGTCTTGAAAAAGTCAGAAACGAAAACAAGACATAACTATTCACGTGAACACATTGATAAGATAAGAAGTAGCCTAGCTAGGCCAGAAACTCCCTCCTTTTGATATAAGAGCAAGGGCGGGGAAGAAGTAGCCTGTAAAGTTGATTCAAGGGTGGGGACATTTTGGCCTAGCTAGGGCAGAATTTCCCCCTTTTGATACAAGAACAAGGGTGGGGAAGAAGTGGCCAAGCTAGGCCAGAATGCCCCTCCTTTTCATAGAAAACAGAACAAAATATCCTAGTTTATTCAGTGGTAAACTTCGGCTAGATGGGGAAACTTTAGCCTAGCCCAAACTTTCCCAGGGGTAAAAATATACTAAGACAAAACAGCCCAGGGGAAAGTTTAGCCAAGGCCAGATTCTCCCCGGGGAAAGTTTAGACTGGGGAAGAAATGGCCTGCTACACTGGTACCACAACACAGTGTCAGTGTACGGCAAATGTGATGCATCTGAAAGCAGCAATGGTAGAATTATTTGTGTGAATAACGGCTCCTTCGTATGAATCTGTTTAATTTGTCTGGGTTGTTTCAAGAACATCATAATGCTAAAGACAAATTATAACTCTGTTAACTGTAGTAATGGTAGTGCTTATTTTGGGGCATTTTCAGAGACAGAAGTCTTCACTGTTCAGGATGCCCATGAAGATCTGGGTTAGCATTGATCTTCAGTAACCCATGCTTGTCGTAAGATGGGACTAAGGCCTGAACAGAAAAATGTGGTTCCGATTACCCGACCGACTGACCCTTGAATTCTGGTGCTGACCCTATTTTTTAAGCGGTATGAATAAAATATTCTTTCAGATTCCATTGTTTTTTCCTGGCACGACGGACATCGGTCATTCTGATATAGAAAGTCGACATGATGGCCGCAAGCTTGATTGTATAAACAATTACACAATAAATGTGTTATTAGTATGTACTAAAATGTAAAACAAAAGAAATCCTACCAACCTACCTACCCTAAATGTTACAGAAGTGTAATTGGAATCGCAACATTTTTTTATTTGGCCTAACAGGATCGGGTGATCATGCTTGCGGACGTGGTTGACACATGTTCAAATTACATAGATCCATGTTCATGCTGTTGATCACTGGATTGTCTGGATATGTTTGCCATATAGCTGTAATATTGCTGAGTGCCATGTGAAACTAAACTGACTCACTCACTCTTCAGGATGCAAAAGCAGCACTGTTGTGTTGCTGTAAGGTGCAACATTTTGCTGTGCAGAGTTGCATCCCTTGAGCACACCGGCATACCTATGGTTTTGGGTTTGAATCCCAATTCACCCAAGTTATGGTTCTAGGTCTGTTAGCACTTAACCTATGTGAGTTTCACCAAAGTGGTTTACATCTTAGACCTGAGTCATTTACACATTAAGCTAACACACTTTGATATCACTAGAATATTTTCTTAAACAGTGTTAAACCAAACTCACGCACTCACTCTGTGTCAATGGAACTCTTTGTTCATCTGAAAGTTAGTTGCACCACTTACACTTCCAAGAGGTGGTAAAGGTCAGAAATATGGAATTACATTCTTACCAATGTTATGATACATGAGATAACCAAAATAATTCAGATAACTTTACATGTATTTATTAAATTGTATTTAAAACATTTAGATAGAACAATATAATGGATTTTCATTGAGACACTTTTGATCAGGGTTCCTATTCTGCACTTAACAGAAGATATGTTTCATCATGTTTCAAAATACATTAATTTTGAAAATAACATAGGTCAGTGTTTTCGTGTGTTCTATATTATATTTAATCTGTATCTCACCATCGCAGAAATACATTGTATGACTCACATGTCATATCTGAAAACGTCCCTGACCATTCTGCTTTTCTCATACTGTAAGGACCATATTAGCTTTGTAACATATGTTATATATGGGATTACACTTTCTTAGTTAAGTACAGATTCTAGTACTTTTGTTGGGTTGAGTCCCATCCGGTATTCAAACCCGCACCCTCAGAGTCAGGCACCTAATCGCCAGCACACAAAGTCAGACGCCTAGACCGCTCAGCCACCGCGGCTTCCACAGAATGGAAGTCGGACAACTGGTAGTCTAGACTGCGGACTTTGTGTACCCCTCTGATAAGTGTTAATTGGCACAGCTCCCACGGCCGAAAGCTATGAAATACACGACTGAATTTAACTGTATGAGGGTTTACCCTATATAACATAAGACAGCGTTTATGCAGGGCACTTGTCCTGCAATCTTGAGTATTTATATAGGTAATGAGCATGTCAAGTAGGCTAATTCTTCAACTGGAGCTATGACACTTGTAATAGATCAATCATATGCTTGACCTGGGGAATAACTGTGAGTCACAAACCGTCACTTACTGGCTCACTGTTTGTGTTTGTTCTGGCCATGGTAGCCTGGCTATAAACTGTTGTTTCAATTTGTATTTTGAATATTATTTGATCCAAAAATGGTTTAAACAATCTTTTAAAATGAATTTATGGGTTTACAGGAATAGTAGAAATTCGACTTGTTACTAAAATGTTATGACCCGATGCTTCCGTTTGCATTTGAGAATTAAACTTTAAAGTGCTAAAAAATGGTTAAAGGCACAATGGCACAAATTTTCGACAATATTTTGCATATATTATATATATTGGGGCATATGCACTCACTTTAGCTTCCTATTGATGCAATAAAATACTTATTATTCCTTACGACTTGCCTGAAATCGATAATCGAAACTTCAAGGTGACCAGCTTCCTAACAGAGAGTCCCTGCCTGGCGCTCGGCATTAATGGTTACAACAAGGACTGTTTGGCTCGGAGTCAGTATAATGTGTCTGAGTGGGGTATTCATGCTTCACTGCGGCATGGTATCTCAGTGGGCTAGCCTCATAAAACCAGCTTCAGTCTGGGCTAGTACAAGCAGCCGCACATACACATACACACGCGCATGCACGTCATCATATGAGCGAAATATTCTCAAGCACGACGTTAAACCCAATTTCACCTCACCTCCAAACAGAGAACATTTGCCATATATGGAATGTAAACAATTGCTCTGTACATCGAATGTGAATTTGTCAGTGTTTGCCGAACTGGTTTCAATCACAAGTTGTGCATAGGATATTCGTAAAGAGCCCTTCAAGGGACATAACTCTATGTGGGTCGCTTGAAATAATGTTTGGCCGGTAGAGGGCTCAAGAGTCGATTTAACGCATTTAAACTTTTTAATTTAATATTACAATCTAAATACATAATTTATTAGGGAATAAATTATATGGTAACTTCCCTGAGGGCTGATAGTATTATTGAGAGAAATGCATTATTTATAAATAACTGCATGTTTTACAGGTGTAGTACTCAGTAGTAGTAGGCATGTAACTGTAAGGATTCAATTGGATATAACCCGATGTTTCTATTTTGTATTTTAGATTATTTTCAAAAAGTGAACTTGTGTAACTAAATCCTTGTCACACTAATGGTTATTACAGAGATAAAGAAAATATGTTTTTTCTTGTATCTTGAAATTCTAATGATTTTCCCATCACTCCACTCAACTACTGACTTCAAACTGACTTGACCAGTTAGAATAGTGACTTTACAGATTATACACCTGGTTTGAAATGGTTGACCATGGATTGTACTAGAGTGAGTGAGTGAGTTTAGTTTTACGCCGCTATTAGCAATATTCCAGCAATATCACGGCGGGGACACCAGATATGGGCTTCACATATTGTACCCATGTAGGGAATCGAACCCGGG